CCATATCAACAATATGTTGACTGCACATCTTCCACAGCGATGACCGTTTATATCAACAAATTATTATTTTTTTTTTAAAAAGGGGACATTCCTGTCTAGTTGGCAGTCCCGAAATCATATGACTTGCACGTGTATTTGTGTGTTGCATGTGTGTGTGTGTGTGTGTGTGTGTGCTCGTGTTCTTGTGTATGTATCAGCTGTATGCATAATATCTTCTTGACACGGCAGTTTTACCTCCATTACAGCACAGCTGATTGAGCACTTAATGCGGCAAAAATCATTATTGAGAGACCATTTATACTTACATTCAGGTGTTAAAAACAACTTGAAGGATTTTTTGTTGTGGTTTGTTTTGTTTTTTTGGTTGTGTGTTCAACTGGACTATCATTTTTCATTGTCCGCTTGTTGTACAACAGTAAGACAGATACATGTATCTTACAAGTGGACGATGATATAATAGTCGTTGCAAACATATTTTACTTAATCATATATTTTTCATTTTTAATTCTGTATCCATCTTGTGTTCTGCCGAGTACCTCAACCCTTATTTAAAAGTAATAAAATTCCTCATCATCAGCTCTGTAATTTGTGATGTCGTTTAAATGTCTTGATACTTATGTCTTTGTGTGTATTGAAATAGAATTTGGTTATTTTCTCGGTGCTTTTCTTACAGATGTGTTTATAAGTATTGCCAATGACAGTGCCAGGGTAGGATGAGATGTATGCACAGAGTAAAGGATGTAAAAAAAAAAAAAGGAAGAAAATGCATATGTGAAAGAGAATATATAAATATACATACATATACAGTCGACTCTGCTTTTGTTGAACTTGTTTGAATTGATCTTCGGTTAAGTTGATCTTTCTCTCGGGTCCCCGCACCGCTTCTTCTTCACAGGTCCCAACGGTTAAGTTGAACTTCAGATGAGTTGATCCCTTTTTTTTTTTCCCCCACTCCTCGGACAACTTCAACTCATCCGTAGGCGACTGTTTATTCTTTCTTGTACCTGGGATGTTTAAAAAAAACAGAAAAAATTCCCAACTAGTTAACTACCCACATTTGTACCATATCTGCTCTTTTACTTGAAAAAGAAATTTTCCTTAACTTTTGTGCTGAGAAATTCTATCCTGAATTTTGATGCTAAGAAATTCTGTTCTAAGTAATAAAAGCCCTCATTTTTTTCTTTTCCTATTCTTTCACTTTTGCTTCAGTTTTGTCCCTGTCAGTATTATCTCTTCTTGTTCTTTATCATGTTGGTCTTGTTCTTCCTCTTCTTCTTTCCTTCCTTTTCGCCCCCCCACTCTCTCTCTCTCTCTCTCTCTCTCTCTCTCTCTCTCTCTCCATTCCCTCCCCCCTTTCTCTGTTCCTCTGTTAATGTTACCCTTCCCTTCTCTCTTTGTATAAATATAAGATGAATACTTGAATGTAGAACTGGGGTCCTAGGAAGACAGGGTGCCCCATGCTTCCTCGCCCCTCTTCATAGGGGTCCATTTCAGTGTGGGCAGGCTGATTGTCTCCATCATCAGCTGGTTTTTGTAACGTCTGATGAGGTCACGCAGCCTGCTCTTCCTGCTTTCACCAGGCTGTACTCCTTTCTCAATCATTATCTCCTTCATGAAGGAGTCCTCTTCACGGCTGCTGGCTAGGTGATCTCGGACAAGGGCTATTACAGTTGGAGGATCAAGGGGCTTAGGGTTATCACTCCCTTTATGTTTGCGGAGCCTGCTATCTGCTCTTTCATTTCCCTTGACTCCTGCATGTCCTGGGCAGAAGATCCACGGCAAGCGTCTGATTTTGCCATCTTGGATTGTCTTAAACCAATCCGCTTAGAGACAGCCGGTCAGGGTCTTATCCACAGTACTCTTTGAGTCTGTGACAAAGGTAGCTGTTGGTTTCCATTAGTGGAAGCCATTTCAGTGCCTCAGTGATGGCCTTAATCTCCATGCACACATGCTTGATGTAGTGAGGCCCGTTGCCCCAAATGCCTCCTGGATTTTTACTTCATGGCAAGAAGCTGTTTAAGCCCAGCCTGATTTGTTCCCACTCTGAACAGAGCCATCAGTGAAGATGATGGTTTCATCCTCTCTGCAGTAATGTTCTCTTCTATAAGTATTAGCGTCTGGATCTCAGCATGTGTTTCTCCTTCAGGCCATTCACGACATTCACGCCCCAATGTAGCACTCACCTGAGTGAATCTGTCTTTCACCTCGTCTGCAAGCGGTACCCATGTCTCCCCCCGTCTGATTGCCTCCACAGTGAGACCACACTCTTCAATGGTTTGCACTGCCCGGGTCATCCACTCGGTGCCCCGTTTGAGTCTTGGTTAGTCTGATGACCTACTTTGTCATGAAGAGAATGCTGTGGATCTGCACAGACTTTCAGATAAGCTTTGACCTGTGTGAGCTTGTGTCTTTCGTTTATGCCGGGTAGGCCAAGCACATATCGCATTGCAGCAGCTGATGTATCTTTTGTGCAACCGAGTATGGCTCTCATTCCTTCGTTCTGGGTCACGTTCCGCCTTCTAAGATGCGTCTTGGACAGTGTCAGCAGACCAAAACCATGATCTACCTAAGACACAACAAGCATTTCAAAGAGCAAGACCAAATTTTTCTTCGGCATCTTGTCTCTCGACATCACCTTCACTGCATTCAGCCCTTTTCTGGCCTCTGTGATGATTTTCGATATGTGCTCCTTTCCACTCAATGTCCTGTCAAACACTATTCCGAGGTAGTGCAGTGTTTCTTCTCTTTTGATTGTCTGGCCTTTGATGTAGACATTTGGCATCTGGGCTTTCACTGCTTGATTCTTGAGGGAGTACCAAAGTGCTGTCGCTTTTCCAGGGTGGATTTTTCCATTAACTGTTTCACACCATGCTCCAATCCTATCAAGCTCTTTCTGTATACAGCTGGTGATCACCTGTTTGTCTTTCCCTGTCAGTACCAGACTTTCAATGAGAGGACATCTGGGTCAGAAGTGAGGTGAGAAGGGGAAAGTCTTATTCAATCGGTATCTGGAACAAACTAACCAAAATTTGAAGTTGAAAGACGAAACATGTTGAAGAACAGCAGTGTTTGCGTTGGGCTTAGAAGACGCGTACAACAGGGTGCAATGTGAAATACTGATGAGGACGCTAGTCAACATGAGAATCACCCCAGCTTTGACTGTCTGGATTGGAGAAGCAATGTTGAAGAGGAAGGTGGCTATTAAGCTTGGCTCGTGGGCATCAAGCACTTGCACGATCACACCTGGCTTACCTCAAGGCTGTTTTGTTCAATGTGTTAACAGTAGGAACCACTTCTAACCAATTGGAAGGCCCTGGCAGGACACTAAGCTTTGCGGATGACGGTCTCACATACTATAATGAGTAATAGATTACTGTCTTGAATTTACCATGTATTATATATCTCTCCAAGTAGCCTTTTGCTTTAAAATGGTGAAAAGGTTACCTAAATAATGATAATATACTAAACTTTTCTTGCAAGTTTAGAGACCTGTTAGCTATGTTGTGTTTGACACCTAGTACTTTCAACTTTTTTTGTGTGGTCAGTTAGCAGTCCTGTTATTGTTTTTTTTTTTCAAGATATGTGAAGTTATGCCATAGAAAAGGGTGTACCACATTTTTAGACATTCGTTTATACTTTTTTTCCCTTCTTTCTCCTCAGAGAGATTTACTAAAGGCTGCTATGCGGTGTCTGTGACAGGGGCTTTACCTCCTGGCATCGTGAGAGAACTGAGAGCTAAAGGGAGAGCGTACAACCCGAGGGATGTTAGCGAGAGAGTGTAGCTCAGAGTATGGAAAGTATTGTTAGCGAGACAGTTTTGCACTGAATGAGGCTGAGCCTAAATGATTGGAGAGTTTGGAGTGAATCTCTTGGAAAGACGCAGTACAGTACGCATATGTTAAATTGAGGATAAAAGGATTTGGATGAAAGTTTCAGATGAAACTTTGCAGTATGTGCTGAATGTAAGATAAATGCTACACTTTTCTATGTTTCTGGAAGTTTCCTTTGTGCATTAAAAGTCCATGAATGTCAGATGCCTGCTTTGGCTTTGATAATTTTGTTAACTTTGGTTAGAGTTGAATTGGCATTTCTCTTTTTCAGCGAAACGACAATCATGGAAGAAATAGGCTTCTTTTACTAATGCTAGCTATTTTTTAAAATGAGATAATCTTTATTCTTCAAAGTTTCCTAAGAAACTTTCTTGAAACAGTCGCAGAAAGTTATGATTCCATCTTTCCAGCACATGACTGCATTTGGCAGGCAGAACTGAGTTGGGTTTTTTTTAATCAGCCAGATGGGAAAATAATTGTCAGAATGGTTTGCCATTCAGAACTTGGCCTTGACAGATATACAAGAGTCCGCTTAAACTAAACACCTCTTTTTTGTCCCTATAAAAACCCATTTCCATGTGAATTTTACTGAAAAACATCGTTTAAAGACATAAAATATGTCATTTTTCTGTTTTCAAGGACTCTTTAGCTATCGGAGTTACCAAACTTTGGTAGCCATTTTCTCGCTAATTTCACCACTGCAACCAGGCGACGTCACTTCTTTCAGTCGTAAATATCTTAAGTTCTGTTCAAGATAGATGGATATTTTAAAAATCGAAAGCAAGGCAAATGAACAATCTTTAAGATGATACCAATAACACCATATGCCCCAAAATTGATGCGCGCCTGATTCCACTGCGCTGTGACACATATGCACTGTTTATTAAGAGACCTCTGTATTTACAGAAACTTGCCATCCTCACTTTTTTTTACCTCATACATGTCCCCGTTACCTGAAGAAGATACTGATAAGGGCATGACAAAGCCCTTTTGAATAAACTGGAAGTGATGCTTCTACATGCATGGCTTACTCTCCAACAGGAACTGTCATGATTTTCCTTCTCAGCACATTTGGTTGCAGTAAGTAAAGTAAGTGAAGGGGGCAAGCTACTAGCACTGATCTCACTGCCCATGAAGAGGGCACCCCTAATTGTGCAACTGACAGGTTACTACAGTGTCAGTGTGCTCTACTTCTGGTTTTTGCGTGAGGTTCAGTACTTGAGACAAGCAAGCAAGGTTCTTTGTTGGGAGTATGGAGCAAAGGCTGCACCTCTAAATCTCTAGAATTTTATCTATACTATGAGGATCATCACCTCTTTTGTTGGTGACGGACATGGATTTGTATATCCTGCCAAACTAAAAAAAACCTGCTTTGTGTCTCAAAGGGCACTTCTTTAAACTTGACCTCAAACAGATTTTTGGAACTCCATCAACCTGTTTCGTATGACGCACAGTTCAGAACCAAGGTTGATGAGGTTCTCTCTGATAAAAATAAATTATACAGTCTAACATGCACATGGCGAAATCTATGGGACCCAGGGAATCTTTTAGTTACCTACGAATTTCACCATATGTACATTTATTAAATACATGTACAAATAATGCACATGTAATGTAAGCAAAAATTTGGGACCTGAAAATCTGTTCACTATGTACGTGTTTCGCTATGTGCCTGCTAGACTGGATTAGAAAATGTTTCCACAGACAGCCATGATACCACAACAGTACTGCTGCTTTATAGATAAGAATTTTATCAGATTTATTTTGCATACATTATTTTGAAAAGTAGTCACAAATAGTTTGCCTTTTTCTCTACAAGCCAGCCAACCAGTCACTCCAATTCATTCATCACAAGTAACAGTCACAGATGACACAAAATAAAACTGACATATTGACAGGGGAAAAAAAACTGCCTTTAACTTTAAAGCACATATCCTAAAGGTTGAATGTATTTTGTCAACTATCACAAGCCACAAAACTAGAAACTGTCGAACATGGGTCACTGTCACACAGTTGGTTACAAATTAACACTTTAAAGAAAAAGGTTAAATGAATATTAGAATTTTTCTTTCCCTGTACCTTGACACACTCTGCATTGTATAACCTATTCAGTTAAAAAATTTTTATTGGTTTTTACGCCCCCCATCAACACAATTTAGATAATTTAGGTGACAGTCTTCGACCCTGCCCATTAGGGCCAACCGCGGCTGAGGGGGATACTCAGCGAAGATATTGAGATACTTAATTTTTAAAAAATGCTCCCCTCTCATGAATTTAGTTTAGTTTTAGTAAGAGTTTTA